TGAGGACTGGGGTTATGTCTTAAAAAGGTTTTGGGGTTAGGGTTTGGGGTTCTGGAGTTTTGGAGTTCTGGGGTTTGTTTATCGCCCCCCTGCCTACGAGGTCGGTCAACATCTGGACGAACTTCCTGGGTGGGATGGGAGGGGGGGGGGGGGGGGCTTAGGATTCGGTAGGAGAGTTTTTTGGTTGGAGCCTCTGGAGATTTTGTAGGGTTTTTGCATCAACGTGCATGGGGATGGCTGCCTCGGCAATGCTCCACTTACAAACGAGGGCAGCCAAAAAAAAGAACTGGCTGGTTCTTAGTAGGGGAAATGCGGAATTGAGGTACCCTACATAATCCATTGGGGGAGAACTTGCACAGATGCCCTAAACCTTAAACACTGACTCCGAATTCCCAGCACTGCAACAATCTTGCGGAGCATCCCTGCAAAGCCATCCAGAGTTGCAAACCCGCACATGGTCTCAGATGGGTTGAGGGTTTAGGGGTTGGGCTTAAGGTTTGAGCACCTGCTCCCTAAAACCTCGTGACCCTAAAAACCTAAGCCACTTTAGAAGCTTAATTTGCACAAATGCAAGTATCTTGTCAGGAACTGGGTCCCCGGGTCCGGTTTACGAGCCGGCAGCACAATAGCTGCCACATTTGCCGAAACCCTAAAAAAACCCTGAACCCTAAACCCCAAACCCAAACCTAAAACTTATGACTCCTCTGCTACAGACCCTCAACGCCTGCCTTCATCCTGGGCACCGCAAATCCTCCCTAAACCCTAAACCCAAACCCCAAGACACCCTAAACACTAAACCCTAAATTACCCCCTCCAAAAGCTTGCAAAGACTAGAGCCTTGTTGGCCCAATGGTGACCATGAGGCCTTGCTGCGCGGTGATCTTCGACTACGGCTTAGGCACTCCCAAACTTGGGGGACATTTGGTTTAGGGGTATCAGGGTTTAGGGTTTAGGGTTTAGGGTTTTGGGTTTAGGGTTTAGGGTTTAGGGTATAGCAGCAAGGCACCCCCACCCGCAAACTCCTCCTAAAACCAACGTCCTCGCAACCCGAATCCCAACATCAGGAAGGGCAAACTATACTTCAAAGCCTCAGCCCTTGAACCCGAACCCAAAACAATCTCAACTTTCGACCTTTTCTGTAGGGACTCAGTGGAGAGCTATCCCCGAGAATTGGGCTTCGGGGATTTAGGTTCGGGGTTCAGATCGCGGCTTGCGGTTTCAAAAGCTTAGGACAAAAAAACAAACACACAGACACACACACAGAGACATAGAGACACAGAGAATAGAGACAAGAGACACAGAGACACAGAGACACAGAGACACAGAGACACAGAGACACAGAGACACAGAGAGACACAGAGACCAGAGCACACAGAGACACAGAGACACAGAGTTACACAGAGACACAGAGACACAGAGACCCAGAAACCCAGACACAGAGACAGACACCAGACACACACAGACCTACACGACACGCAGACACACAGACACACAGACACGCAGACACACACGACCACACAGACACCAGACACGCAAAACGCAGACACCGCCAGACACACTAGGACACACGCAAAACCGAAACACAGACAACACCATACACGCAGACACACAGAACACGGTTACACGCAGACACGCAGACACGCAGGACACAAAGACACACACCATGATTGAGAGAGAGAGAGAGAGACACACACAGTCCCCCACCCACAAAGAAAAAAAGCTAGAGACCTCATTTTAAAAAACCCAAGCCTAAGCCCCCTGAACCCTAACCCTAAACCCTAAGCCCTAAACTCTAAGCCCCCTAAACCCCCAAACCCCTAAACCCTAAACCCTAAACCCTTTAAACCTGGAACCGCCGGGTCCGCTTTGTCTTTGTCCCGGGCCATGGCGCGCGTCATGGGAAGTCGGCGGTCCAGGATGAGCTGGATGCCTTTAAAGGGGTTTAGGGTTTAGGGTTTAGGTTTTAGGTTTAGGGGTTTTAGGGTTTAGGTTTTGGGTTTGGGTTTAGGGTTTTAGGGTTTGGGGGATTTAGGCTTGGGGCTTCGGGGGGTTTCGGGCGTTTTAGGGTTTTGCACTTGGGCACCCCAGGGGACTTGAGATGCCTTAAAGAGAAGGGAGGACAGGGGGGGGGGGGGGGGTTTTGGGTTTTTGGGTTTAGGGTTTAGGGTTTAGGGTTTAGGGTTTAGGGTAACTGGGAGCTCAGGATGCCTTAAAGAAGGGAAAGGCCGAAGGGTTTTGGGCCTCAGGAGGCTGTAGGGCTCTTAGTGGTATGAAAGGCTTTAAGGCTTCTTGTTCCTAAACCCTAAACCCTAAACCCTAAACCCTAAACCCTAAACCCTAAACCCTAGACCCTAAACCCGAAACCCTAAACCCTAGCTGGCATTTCAGGTTTCAGATCCCAAGCGGCCCAGCAGGGAGACCTGGGCGATGCACTTCTTGCCGAACTCGGTCATGTTCATGCCATTGAGCACCTGCACACATGCGGAACTGGTTGGGTTTAGGGTTTGGGGTGCAGGGTTTAGGGTTTAGGTTTAGGGTTTAGGTTTTAGGGCTTAGGGTTTAGGGGTTAGGGATTAGTTTAAGGCAGTTTTGAGGGTCTACGCTTGGCCTGATAAGGCTCCATATCATAAATAGGAAAAATATACATCTGAATCTAGAAAAACCCATGTGGTGATCCGATCATCTGGTCACTTCTCTAAAATCTGGTCCCTTTTGGGGTCCTTGTTACAAGGCAGCCCCCAACATTTAGGGTACCCCACCACGGACTGTAAAAAGTATGAGTACCGGTTGTGTCTCTTTAATATGCTCATTACAGGTTTAAGGCACAAACCAAGAGCCCAAGACTTGCATGAGCCGGGGTATCGGCACCGTCCATTTTGCCATCAAGTCTGAGCTACGAGCAGCCATGTCGCGTGTCCCAGAAATCTGTCTCAAATGACCACAGAAATTCGCGATGCCAACCTACATCGCCAGCTGAAAACAATGGTACATATAACATGCATTCAACGAAACCCTATGCCCTAAACCCCCCACACGTCCCCTAAAGGCCAACGAAATACCTCAAAACGCTGGCCCCAAGCCCAACTCCTTAAACACTATCGCCCAAATCAGAAACCCTAAACACCCGAACCCTTAACCGCCTTAGCCGCCTTCACCGCCTGAACCCCTTGACTCCTTAACCCTAAACCACCTTGACCCCAAAACTCCCCACCGGGTTTAGGGCAGCTTAAACCCTAAGCCCTAAGCCCTAAACCCTAAACCCTAAACCCTAACTCCCCTCATTCCCTGCGGCCCGGCGCCTGCCCGCACTCCATCGAGCAGATCCGGCATTCTCGTCGAACCGACCGTTGCATTTCGGACTGGCAGGAGGGGGTTTAGGGTTTAGGGTTTAGGGTTTAGGGTTTAGGGTGTAGCATTGGTCAGCTGAACGCAATAGTATGAAGACATGCCCACCCCGAGGCCACCCAAACACTACTCATCACGGAACCAAACCGAAGCCAGCCAAAGCCAAGCCAGCCATTCAATTTTCATATATCGAACATTTAGAGGACACAAAGACAGAACGATGCGAATGTTTCAAATTTCACACATCGAACATGTTTAGAGGACACTAAGATAAGACACTAAGATAAAACACTGCGAGTGCTTGGGACATTTGCGCGCACTGGCCTTGACACAATGCACTCGGAACACAGCTGGCGCAATGCACTTGGCACAAGGCGCTTGGCACGATGCCCTTTGGCACAATGCACTTGGCACAGAGCACTTGCGCAATGCACTTGGCACTAGACTGCAGTTGGCACACGCAGCACAATGCACTTGGCAGAATGCCTTTCGGCATAATGCCCTTTTGCGCAATGCACTTGGCACAATGCACGCCTGGAACAATGCACTTGGCACAGAGCACTTGGACTTGGCACGCACTTGGGCACAATGCACTTGGGCGCAATGCACTTGGAACAATGCACTTGGCACAATGCAAGGCACTTTGGCACAATGCGCTTGGGCGCAATGCACTTGGAAGTGCATTAGCGCAGTGCACTTGGCACCTGGAACAATGCACTTAGCGCAATGCACTTGGCACAGTGCACGTAGCACAACGGACTTGGCGCAATACACTTGGCGCAACACACTTGGCACAACAATGCGGCTCGCACATGCACTGGCACATTGCCACAACGCACGTGACCTTGACGCAATGCACTTGGCCCAGTGGCACACAGACACAAGCGCAATGCGCTTGGCATTGATGGCACAGCGGACGTGACGCAATGCGCTTGGCACTAGAATGCAGTTGGCACACGCACGAGTACATGAGCACAATGCACTTCAACGCACGTGACCTTGACGCAATGCACTTGGCCCAGTGGCACACAAGCGCAATGCACTTGGCATTGATTGCATATAACGGACTTGACGCAATGCACTTGGCACTATAATGCAGTTGGCACACGCACGAGTACATTAGCACAATGCACTTGGCCTTGACACAATGCACGTGGCACATTGGCACAATGCACTTGACACATGGAACAATGCACTTGGCGTAACGCATCTCAATGCACTTGGCACAGAGGACTTGGCACAATGGACTTGACGCAAAGCACTCGGCGCGCAATGCACTTGGCGCGAGTGATGTTTGAGCCAGTGCCCCCCCCTAACCGGGTTTCAGGTGGGTTGGGGCCTTGCAGACAGACGGGCCAGGGCCAGGGTCAGGGCCACCAAAGCCAGGGCCAGCCAGAGGGCATCCCACCAGGCCCAGCCAGGACGTTGGCACAGAGGATTGGCCCTGGTCAGGGTTAGGCGAGCAGGGCCAGGGCCAGGGCCAGGCCAGGGCCAGGGCCAGGACCAGGGCCAGGGCCAGGGCCAGGGCCAGGGCCAGGGCCAGGGCCAGGGCCAGGGCCAGCCAGGGCCAGACCCAGGTCAGGACCAGGGTCAGCGCCAGGGCCAGGTGCAGGGCCCTGTTAAAAAGGACCCACCGGCTCTACTCAGTGACCAAGCTAGGCGACTTTAGCTTGGCGACCTCTCAGGGGTGAGCCTGGCAGGCTCTGCAGCCCAGCAGAGCCTGCGAGGCTCAGGGTTTGGGGGGGGGGGGGGGTGCCGTAACCCCAGGCTCCGAAACCTCATCAGCCCTCCGGGTTTCGGTTGCAGCTGAGCCCTCACCCTAAACCCTAAACCCAAAACCCAAAACCCTAAAACCCTAACCCCCGAAACCCTAAACCCTAAACCCTAAACCCTAAACCCTAAACCCTAAACCCTAAACCCTAAACCCTAAACCCTAAACCCTAAACCCTAAACCCGAAACCCCAGCCGCCAAGAGCTCCTAAACGCCCCTATTCAAAAACCCTAAACCCAGTTGTGCCCCGACCTCATTCCAACCCTTAAAGCCTAAACCCTAAACCCTAATCCCGCAATCCTAAACCCTAAACCCAGTCGTGCCCCCTTTAACTAAGGCATCTTACTGAAACACATGGGAGTCCTTAATGTAGCTTAAGGTGTCTTCCTGAATTCAGCTGTGTTGGGCTCTTTGAGTCCTACACCCTACATGCTAAACCCTAAACCCTAGACCCTAAACCCTAGACCCTAAACCCTACACCCTACACCCTAATCCCTAAACCCTACACCCTACACCCTAAAACCTACACCCTAAACCCTAAACCCTGAACCCTAAACCCTGGCCCCCAAACCCCAAACCGTCCTCCAGGGCCAGGAGCCAATCTTCGATATTGCCCTGCGCTTGCACCGGCGTCCTCGGCCGCGGCATCCAGGGAGCCAAGTGTAGTTAAGGACTGTGATGAAGGGTTTAGGGTTTGGGGTTTAGGGTGTAGGGTATAGGGTGTAGGGTGTAGCGTTTAGGGTTTAGGGTTTAGGGTTTGGGGTTTAGGGTTTCGGGTTTAGAGTCAAAGGTTTAAGCTCAGGATGCAAACCCCTAAGCCCTCAATTTCCCCTGTAGAATCTCTTGTAGATTCCTTCAAGGGACTGCAGGAGGGGCCCTTCTAGGGGACCTGGCGGTTCTTTAGGGATTCTTTAGGGGCTACTATTTAGGGGCTACTTAGGTATTTAGGGACTATATAAGGTATAAATACATCAATAAATATATAAATATATATATATATATATATATATTTATATATATTTATTTATTTATTTACATTTATATATATATATATATATATATGTGTATATATATATGTATTTATTTACTTTTCTGTATTTATGTATTTATTTATACAGGGTGGGTATATAGGGGGGTCCAGCTGGGCAGCTCTGGCCTCTCCGGCCTCGACTTTAGGGTTGGCCGTCTGCGCAACCGAGCTCTGCCATCGTCCTGACCTCCCTGCTGAAATCCTGGTTTAGGGTTTAGGGTTTAGGGTTTAGAGTTTAAGGTTTAGGGTTTAGGGTTTAGGGTTTAGGGTTTAGGGTTTAGGGTTTAGGGTCTAGGGCTGAAATCCTAGAGCCCTAAAAGCCCTCAGCCCTAAATCCTTAACCCTGAACACTAGACTCCCGAAGCCTAAACCCTAAACCCTAGACCCTTAACCCTAAAGCCTACAGCCTAAACCCTACACAGGCCAAGGTTCTGCAGGTCCACAATCTCTTGCACGGAGCCGTGCGTCTCCATGATTTTGATCTCAGGTGGCAGGGCTTCTTGCAGCGGGCTTGGGCTGTGCTGTTTCGGGTTTAGTGTTTAGGGTTTAGGGTTTATTAGGGGGCATGTTTAGGGCGTTAAGGTGGTGTACTACCTACACCAGAAACCCTCTTAGAATACGGGCACCCTCTCGTCTGCAGATCAGCTTCATACTTGGAAGCTCTTGTGACTTAGTAAGTCTAGTTAGTAGCTAGAAACACCTTTCTAATTCCCATAAACCACTGAACCCTGAACCCTGAACCCTAAACCCTAAACCCTAAACCCTAAACCCTAAACCCTAAACCTTACAAAGTCAAAAGAGCTTCCAAGCAGAGGTGCCCAGAACCCAAAACGAGAAGTAGCGGGGCAGACGTGGGCTCCCGAGCTCAGGAGGGTTTGAGACTGAAGGTTTAGGGCATTCGGGCTTTGGAACCCTACCCTAAACCCTAAACCCTAAACCCTAAACCCTAAACCCTAAACCCTAAACCCTAAACCCTAAATCGCATATCTGAACTCGATTTGTGGATTAGGGCCTTGGGGGGTCCGGAGTGGGGGCTTCAGATTCAGGGTTTAGGGCTTCGGGCGCAGGGTTTAGGGTTTAGGGTTTAGGGTTTAGGGTTTAGGGTTTAGGGTTGAGGTTTGAGGGTTTAGGGTTTAGGGTTTAGGGTTTAGGGTTTAGGGCTTCGGGTGTAGGGTTTGGGGCTTAGGGGGGATGAGTGCGGACAGGTTTGGGAAGTTAGTGTGGGTTTTCGGGGAAAGGGAAGGTTTAGGGTTTAGGGCTAAGCCCTATACCGAAACCCTAAAACCACTCTTGCCACGCTCTTGCATGCAAAGCACAATCTTCTTCCTGTCGACCTTGTCGAACTGGACCTTGGCAGACAGTTGGGCTTCATGGTAGGTAGTCGGGTTTAGGGTTTTGGGCTTTTTTGAAAACCCTAAACCCGAAACCCTAAGCTTTAAACCCCAAATCCTAAATCCAAAACCTCTGAAGCCCAGACCTCCTGATCCCACGACCGGAAGAAATGTCATCTAACCCTAAACCCTAAACCCTAAACCCTAAACCCTAAACCCTAAACCCTAAACCCTAAACCCTCAGGCAAGCACGCGGTTGATGGCATCGAAGAGCTTCTCAAAGTCCTCCAAGAACAGTTGCGGTTTTTGGTGGGTTTGGAGGGGGGTTTAGGGTTTAGGGTTTTGGGTTTTGGGTTTTAGGGTTCAGGGCTTAGGGTCTAGGGTAAGACCATTGTTCTCTAAATTGGGGCCCCTTTTTGGGACACATGGCTAAAGGGTGCCGCCTTATAATGGGTACCCAAAAGGGACACTAATTTAGCAAACTACTACCAATGTGTGGTTGGGTGGGTTTGGGGGCGTTGGTTAGCTTTAGAGCTTGTGCCGCAGGGCTTTAAAACAAAGACTTGGGACGTGGGGCTTGGCAAAGATTTCATTCACCCTAAACCCCAAACCCTGAACCCCAAACCCCAAACCCCGAACCCTAAACCCTAAACCCTAAACCCTAAACCCTAAACCCTAAACCCTTTCCTCCCGTCCTCTTGGATGCTCTCAGGGTCACTTCCTTGGGACAGGATCTTCAGCAGCACCGGGTCACTGGTGAAGTAGAATCGCCTTGGCGCGAAGAAGAAAGGCTTGGACTTCACACAAGCGTCTTGCCCTAAACCCTAAACCCTAAACCCTAAACCCTAAACCCTAAACCCTAAACCCCAAACCCTAAACCCTAAACCTGCGCCCTGGATCAAGGGCGCCGGAAGTCGTGGTGCCCTGAGTCAGGGAGATTCTGGAAGGCTTCGGGCTTAGGGTTGGGGAGGGATTTGGAGTAAAATGTAGGGTGTAGGGTTCAGGGTTTAGGGTTTAGGGTTGAGAAGGGTTTGAGGTCTAATGTAGGATTAGGGTTTAGGGTTGAGGGTTTAAGGTTTGCGGTCTGCAGACCGACCCGGCTTTGCCCAAGGAGGAAAGGTCCAACCCTAAACCCAAAACCCCAAACCCTAGCCCACCCCAAACCCTAAACCCCAAACCCCAAACCCTAAACCCTACACGCCAAACCAAAACCCTGCATCCTAAACCCTAAACCCTAAACCCTACACCCCAAACCCCAAACCCGAAACCATATAACCCTAAGTGCGGACTGGCCGGCGGGAATTTGTTCCGCTTGCCCTCGAGGTAGCTTTCCAAGGACTTCTGGCACTTCTCCAGGCCTGCAGGTGCAGGGTTCAGGGTTCAGGGTTCAGGGTTCAGGGTTCAGGGTTTAGGGTTTAGGGTTTAGGGCGTTTAGGGTTTAGGGTTTCGGGGTTTGCAGTTCAAGGGGATTTGGGACGTTTTGGGGGGTTAAGGTTCAGGTGGCTCAGGGTGCAGGCTGTTTGGGTGGGTTTAGGGGGAGTTTAGGGTTTTAGGGTTTCAGGTTCTGGGTTCGGGGCTTCCACCAAGACCTAAGGTTTTGGGTTCAAGGCATGTGGGGGGTTTAGGGTTTAGGGTTTGGGGTTTGGGGTTTAGGGCTTAGGGCTTCGGGCTTCGGGTTTAGGGTTTAGGGTTTAGGGTTTAGGGTTTAGGGTTTAGGGTTTAGGGTTTAGGGTTTAGGGTTTAGGGTTTAGGGTTTAGGGTTTAGGGTTTAGGGTTTAGGGTTTAGGGTTTAGGGTTTAGGGTTTAGGGTTTAGGGTTTAGGGTTTAGGGTTTTTAGGGTTTAGGGTTTAGGGTTTAGGGTTTAGGGTTTAGGGTTTAGGGTTTAGGGTTTAGGGTTTAGGGTTTAGGGTTTAGGGTTTAGGGTTTAGGGTTTAGGGTTTAGGGTTTAGGGTTTAGGGATTGCAAGAGGCACGCATTCCCGGGCTGCTCAGGAAACATACTCTCACAAGGCCAGCCAAGGTGCTCCTCAAGTTTGTTGGGGGGAACCCTAAACCCTAAACCCTAAACCCTAAACCCTAAACCCTAAACCCTAAACCCTAAACCCTAAATCCTAAATCCTAAATCTTCAAGCACTGGGCTACTCTAGATTCGGAGGGGCCTCGTTGACATAAAGGTAGGAGCCGGTTCACTGCAGCTTTTCAGCCCTACGCCCTACACGGCCTGCGCTCCAAACCCCTTAACGCTCCTAAATCCCAAACTCCAACCAGAAGAATCTGAACCTCTAGGCCCTAAACCCTAAACCCTAAACCCTAAACCCTAAACCCTAAACCCTAAACCCTAAACCCTAAACCCTAAACCCTAAATGCTCTACACCCCTAAGTCCTGTTCCCCGCACAGAAAACCTGGACCATAACCTTGAACCCTAGACTCCAACCTATCGTAAACCCCCCATTTAGAGTTTTGGGGGTTTGGGGGTTATGGCAACTAGGGAAGCTGGGTTTTAGGGTTTAGGGTTTAGGGTTTAGGGTTTAGGGTTTAGGGTTTAGGGTTTAGGGTTTAGGGTTTAGGGTTTAGGGTTTAGGGTTTGGGGGTTAGGTCTCGGGGTGATGCCGAGCCACCCTCAGACAGGACTGGCAGCATCTGCTTCAGCATGTCGTTCCTTGCATGTATAACCCTAAACCCTAAACCCTAAACCCTAAACCCTAAACCCAGGGTTGCATGCCAAGCGCGGAAGGCTCCGGTGTTCAGGTTTTGGGGGGGGGGGGGGCTTATGGGTTTTAGGGGCAACTCTGGAACTTAGCTTTGGAGTAGAGCCTGGAAAAAAAGGTATATACTTTCTAGGTAATAAGTAGCAATAATAAGAACCCAGAACCAAAAAAAGTATTAAAGTATAGTACTCCAAAACCCAGGGAAGGAGAGGGGGGAGCCGAACAGTTGGAGCGGAATCACAGGGTTTAGGGTTTAGGGTTTAGGGTTTAGGGTTTAGGGTTTAGGGTTTAGGGTTTAGGGTTTAGGGTTTAGGGTTCAACTAGGGGCTGAGTCGGCATGATGATTCAGAAGTGAGGCGGCGGTCATATCTTACTGCAACAGTCTTACTGCAACAGTCCAAGAACCACACACTAGCTACCGCAACCGGCGATAAGCCCTAAACCCCTCAACCCCTCAACCCCTAAACCCCTAAACCAGTAAAGCAGGCCAAAACAAAAACTGCCCCCCCTCTTCCCACCCCTTCCCCTAAACCCTAAACCATAAACCCTAAACCATAAACCCTATATAAACCCTAAACCCTAAACCCCAAACCCCTGCGACACAGCCGCTGGCAGCAGGGCACCACGTACTTCGTGTCCGCAGACTTCCTTTGTGCTCTCTTCAGACTGTGGGGCTTAGGGTTCAGGGTTTAGGGTTCAGGGTTTAGGGTTTAGGGTTTAGGGTTTAGGGTTTAGGAACCCTAAAGCCCGAACATTCAACCCTAAACCACCCTTCAGGCTTTCTGGGCTTTCCAGGGTTTAGGGCTTGGGGTTTCGGGTTTCGGATTTCGGGTCTAGGGTTTGGGGTTTAGGGTTTAGGGGCTAGGGCAGGGTGGCTGAGGGTGTATGACTCAAAGTATTCCGGATTTCGGCTCTACTATCCCCTGAACTGAGTCAGCCGACTGCATGATCTTGATCCAGTCTTTGTCGATCTGCTGGAACTTCTTTGCCTGCGCTGGGGCTCGCGGCCGCTCCCTGCTTGGGGTGCTCTGTGTTAAGGGCTTGGGTGGCAGGTTTTGTGCGCTGTTCGATTCCTCATTCCCGCGCGAACCTTGCACAAACTTCAGACTTTTGGGCCTGAGGCTTAAGACCTCGAAAGCCCTGAACACACAGGGTTTCGGGTTTAGGGTTTAGGGTTTAGGGTTTAGGGTTTAGGGTTTAGGGTTTAGGGTTTCCCGAAATCCTCAACAGCTCGAAACGATGCCTCCATAGGCATCTGCTTGGCGATATCACCACCTGTGAAGACGGACTCCAAGGAGGTCCACATTTGCTGAACCTCAGGGGTTTGGGGTTTCGGGTTTGGGGTTTAGGGTGTCGGGTTTCGGGGGTTTGGAGAATGTGAGGGGTTTCCGAAAATTAGGGGTACCTTATTAGGATCCTTATTCGAAGGGGATCCGACTATTTGGGAGGGGGGGGGGGGGGAATTTGGGGGGGGGGGGGGGGGGGGGGGGGGGCAATTTTAGGGGTCCCCTATTTTCGTAAACGCCCATGTCGGATGTTTAAGCGCTTGGGTTGGAGGGCTGTGGGCCTTGATGTAGAGTGGATTTGCAGCGTTTTGTTGAAGTTGAAACTGCAGGCGTTTGCCATTGTTCAGTTTTCAGAAACTTGGGGGGACCTTATTATGGGGGGATCCTTATTATAAGGAAATCCTACTATTTTGGGGTCTATGTTAGGGTTCTCTCATTTTCGTTTTCACCCCCGTTTGGAGTTTAGCGGGTTTGTTTTTGGGCCTCGCTTCAAGCCCCGAAACGCAACCTGTCGTGACGGGAGCTAGGGGTGGCTTCTTTTTGCTAGTGTCCCCAAGGACACCTCCCAAGTCTACCCTCAACAATACTGAAAAACACTGGTTCATATAGGGTTAGGAGTTTAGGGTTTCGGGTTTAGGGTTTAGAGTTGAGGGTCTAGGGTTGTGGGCTTAGGATCCTCCATGACCTGTAAGGTGGGGTCTTGTAACGGGCGGCCGTGCCTTAAACCAGCGCTCAATGGTGTCGCCCGTGTCAGAGAGCGTGGACAGCAGACCGTTCAACTCCTTCGAGTTCCGTATTCGGGGCATTTCAGGGTTTAGGGTTTAGGGTTTAGGGTTTAGGGCTTAGGGCTTAGGGTTTAGGGTTTACAGGGCTTGGGCCTTCTAAGGTACTGTGAAGTTCGGGTGGTGGAGTTGGGGTTGAGGGCGTAAGGCGGGGCGTTGAGGTGGTGTGGGGGGTTCAAAAACAGCTTTGCGGTGTAGGGTAGTGGGGTTTCGGGTTCGGGGCGGTTCAAAAACAATTTGGGTTTGCGCACTGCACGTCTGCTTGCGGAAGCCTAAACCCTGAACCCTGGACCCTCCTAAACCCTGAACCCCCTGTTCCCGGCAAACAGAAACCCAAAACATCCCAGAAAGCTGCGCTGGTGTTTGGGGGGTAGGCTTTGGGGGTTCAGGCGTAGGGTTTAAGTCTATGGCTTAGGGCTTTTTCGCCCGGAACCGCCTAATTTCAGGCTCGGTCCTCCTTGAAGGGAATCGAGTGGCGCTGGGCCTTAGTTTGTCTGCTCTCGCGGAGATACTTGACTTGGCCCCAAGCCGGAAAGAAACAAAAAAAAAAAAACAGTCCCTAAACCCTATCCCTAAACCTACACCCTGAAACCCGACTCTTATGCTGAGGACCTAAAACTTACTAAAACCCTGGCCCCTAAAGTGACCCCAAAACTCCTCAAGCCTCTGGGTTAGCCTGATACACAGGACCTACCAAAAAGCCTAAAATCGGCAAAGTGCAAACACGCGCGATCAACAGCTTAAGACACTAAGCCCCGAAGCCATTGAACCCTGACAGCCACTAGGCCCAAAAGAAGCCTGGGAACAAAACGGGTGCCCTTTATGGGTTAGAACGGGCTTATAAAGGCCCTAAACCCGAAAACACGGAATAGGGGCCCTAGTGAAGCCCTGAAACGTGGCTCGTACATCGTTGGAAGACCCTCATCGACATGCTTAAGCGCTAGGCTCAGAAGTCTGGGCCCTAAACGCTCGGTAACCCTAAAGCCCTGAAACCCCAAACCCTAAACCCCAAACCCCAAACCCTAAACCCCAAACCTCAAACCCTAAACCCCAAACCCTAAACCCTAAACCCTAAACCCTAAACAATAAACCCTAAAACCCCAAACCCGATCCAGCTGGGCCACACTAGAGGAGTTCATGGTGTTCACCCTAAACCCGAAAACCTAAACCCTAAACCCCAAACCCTAAACCCTAAACCCTAAACCCAAGAGGCGTTCATGGTGTTCAGGTTCATCATGGTCTCCTCTAGCGCCTCCTGGGTCTCTCCGACCTGGAGGCTTTCGTTTCGGGCTTAGGGTTTTGGGGTTAGGGGTTTTTAGGGTTTAGGGTTTAGGGTTTAGGGTTTAGGTTTTAGGGTTAGGGTTTAGGGTTTAGGGTTTAGGGTTTAGGGTTTAGGGTTTAGGGTTTAGGGTTTAGGGTTTAGGGTTTAGGGTTTGGGGTTTGGGGTTTGGGGTTTAGGGTTTAGGGTTTAGGGTTTAGGGTTTAGGGTTTAATAAGGGTTAAGGGTTAAGGGTTTAGGGTGTAGGCTTTCGGGTTTAGGGTTTAGGGTTCAGGGTTTAGGGGCCAGGGGTTAGGGGTTTTGGGTTCAGGAGGCCAGGGTTTAGGGTTCAGGAGTTCAGGGTACGGTATAGGGTGTAGGACTTAGGGTTCAGGAGTTTGGGGTTTAGGGTTCAGCAGTTTAGGGTGCAGGAGATTAGGGTTGAGGGCAGAAGCACCTGCGGCTGCCTACGTCCGGGGTGGGGAGAGACACTAAACGCTAAAGATAGCGGAGCCTGAACCCAAAATATGCTTACTGGTTCCTGTTAGGACATGAGGGCATGAGGTTCCCTATATCAGGAGGAATCAAGGTCCCTCATTCCCTACGAAGAAACAGCAAGCATCCTAAACCCTAAACCCCGAACCCTAAACTACACCAGGGCCTTTCGGAGCTTTAAGGTTCTTGGAGCACGCACTACGCTGGTTCTTCTTGGCAGAATTCCGGGGGTGTTGGGGTTGGGGTGGGGGGGGGGGGGGGGGGGGGGGGGGGGGGGCCTAAACCCTAAGCTCCAGGCCCCTAAACCCTAAACCCTGAACCCTCAAACCTAAACCCTAAACCCTAAGCAGGAGCCCTGGAGGGGCCTTGGCGCCGCTGAGGACGCAGGGATAGTCGCGCGACTTCCAGGTTCCAAAGTCGAACATCATGGCTTCCTGAGGTGCAGGGGTTTCGGGTTTGGGGTTTAGGGTTTCAGGTTTCGGGTTCGGGGTCTCGGATTTCGGGCTTTGAGTTTGGGGTTTCGGGTTTGGGGTTTGGGGTTTCGGGTTTAGGGTTTGCGGTTTGGGGTTTTGAAGGCACCGGGGGCGTTGGGGGCCGTGGTCCACTTGCTGGGGCCGCGGCCCACTGAGTGGAGATCTCCTTGAGCTTGCTCTCGATGACCTGAAGGGTTTAGGGTTTGGGGTTAGGGCTTAGGGTTTTGGGTCTGGGGACTTGAGGTGGTCACCTAAAGGGTTTACGGTTTAGGGTCTTAGGGCTTAGGGTTTTAGGGCTTAGGGCTTAGGGCTTAGGGTCTTGGGTTTGGGGGAACTTGGGGTGTGACGTCCACGTCCGTGAAGTCCCCTTGGGCGGCGCACCAGCTGCTTGTCGGCACCCTCGCAGATGTCGGAGATCTCATCGGTGAATTCCTTCGCACAGGAGCTCAGAATCCCAAACCCCAAGATGCCAAAGCCTAAACCCTAAACCCTGAACCCTGAACCCGAACCCTGAACCCGATGTCAACTGGAGGCTTCGGGGGTTTCGGGCGTACTAACCAGCCGAGAAAGGGCTGCATTCACAGCAAACCCTAAACCCTAAACCCTAAACCCTAAACCCCAAACTCTGCGACCGGAAGCGCTACCTTCAGGCCAGCCAAGTGTCGTTCAACTGCGCATCGATCAGCGACTGGAGCTTGAAATTCTCCGAGTCGATGGGCAGATCTTTGCCTGCAGGCATGATCTAGAAGCCTTAAATAATTAGAACAAGGCTTTGGGGGGGTTTGTTGGAGTATAACTATAAAGGAAACATAAGGGAACACTATTAGTCATTATTCCGACTCCCTGTAGTAGGTTTTAAAACTCATTCCGTCTCGTAAAACCCCAAGCCCTCAAACCATGAACCCCAAACCCTAAGCTGAATGTCACAAGTGACTTCGCGAAGTCTGCAACCCTTGACCCTAAACCCTAAACCCTAAACCTCCGACCCTAACCCTAAACGCGGAACCCTAGACCCTAAACCCTAAACCCTAAACCTCAGACCCTAACCCTAAACCCTGAACCCTAGACCCTAAACCCTAGATCCTAAACCTCAGACCCTCAACCTCTGTATGGAACCAGGGGGTTTAGGGTTCAATCTTACAGTAGTGCTAGGGCCGTCGGCTTAGAAACCCTGCAGACCCTACAAATAAAGCCACTTCGGTCTTTCAAGCAGGGGCTACCCTAGGTAAACCCCAATCCCTAAACCCCAAACCCCAAACCCCAAACCCTAAACCCTAAACCCTAAACCCTAAACCCTAAACCCTAAACCCACCCTCAACCCTAAGGCCCACCCCCCCATTTCTCGCCTGTGATGTCCATGACCTGCTGCCAGTGCCTTGGCATGATGCTCGGCCTTGGCATCAAGGTTTGGGGTGCTAGGGTTGGGGATATTTTGGGAGTTTAGGGTTTAGGGTTTAGGGTTTAGGGTTTAGGGTTTGGGGTTTGGGGTTTGGGGTTTGGGGTTTGGGGTTTAGGGTAAACCTTAAACCCTCTAACCTGAAGCCTAAAGCCGCAGTTGATGGGCATGAGGGCTTTACGGCCTTGCTTGTCGTGTAAACACCATGTAGCCCACCTAAAATGCCTGTGAGCCTTCAAGAATCCTGGGACTGAAGGAGGGACCCTTATAAGGAACCTTACAGGCTCTTTGGGGGGGTTAAAGGGGCTACTTGGCTATATTGGGGCTATATAAGGTACATATAGGGGTTATATAGGGGAATCAGATTAAGAGCCCCTTCGAGGGGTCCCTCCCTCTACCCCTTAAAAGAAGTGTCAAGGCCCCCGGCCTAAACCTTAAATCTAAGTCTTAAAACCCTGAACCCTGCATCGCTAAGACCCTTAATTAACCCTCAACAATTTAAAGCCCCAAACCCTCAACCCTAGACCCTAACTTACCAAACCCTCTGCCAACCTCAGACCCCTAAACACGCGAAACCCTAAACCCTAAACCCCCAAAAACCCTAAACCCTAAACCCTAAACCCCAAACCCCAAACCCTAAACCCTAAACCCTAAACCCTAAACCCGCCCGCCACCCCTCTCACCTCTGTTGGGGTAGGCGGGCGCAGTCGAGCGCTCAGCGAGACCACGGCAGGCTAAACCCTAAACCCCTAAGCCCGACTTGGGCTCTTGGGGGCCAGGCTTGCCCAGCTCCAGCAGCAGAGGCAGCACACCCTGGAAGTCCTCGAGCATGGACTTATTGGCTTTGAGTGCTTTGGGTTGAGGGTTTAGGGTTTAGGGTTTAGGGTTTAGGGTTTAGGGTTTAGGGTTTAGGGTTTAGGGTTTAGGGTTTAGGGTTTAGGGTTTAGGGTTTAGGGTTTAGGGTTTAGGGTTTAGAGTTTAGGGTATCTGGCTTCGGGCTTAGGATTTAGGGGTTACGACTTAGGGGTTAGGGTAATAGGGTTTATAGGGTTTATAGGGATCATAGGGATCATAGGGTTGACAGAGTTTACAGGGTTTGCAAGGTTTACATGTTCCACAGGGTTATTGAGCGTTTCGAGTTGTGGGTCCTGGGCTTAGGGTTTTAGGGTTTCGGGCAGGGCTGGGGGTGTTGAGGCGCCATAGCTTCAGGGTTTGTCCCCCCCTCCACCTGGGGTTTAGGGTTTAGAGTTTAGGGTTTGGGGTTTAGGGTTTAGGGTTTAGGGTTTAGGGTTTAGGGTTTAGGGTTTAGGGGTTAGGGGTTAGGGTTTAGGGTTTAGGGTTTAGGGTTTAGGGTTTAGGGTTTAGGGTTTAGGGTTTAGGGTTTAGGGTTTAGGGTTCAGGGTTGACGGCCTAGGGTGAAGAGGCTTCCTGTATACATAACCTAGACCCAGGAGTAACCTAAAAATGCAAGGGCTGCCCTTTTGGTTTTAAGGAGATTATAAGGGAACCCCTACCCTAAAAAGGAAAGTAAGGGCCTACTCCGGGACCTAGTAACTATTAGGGATCCTGAGAATTCTCAGTTCAGGACTAATCTATCTGTGCCTGGGGGCTTCCAACTGTCAGGTTCTTTTCCAAACCTCCCAAAAAAATTGCACAAATCACCCAAGGCAACCTCTGATTTCAACCCGCAATTTTCGCAAAAAAAGAAACCATGTCTGAGTTATTCGGAAGGGTTTTGCCGGTTTAGAATGCTTCCTAAACCCTAAACCCGAAACGCTAAACCCTAAACCCTAAACCCTACACCCCAAACTCTATTCCCTGAACCCCAAACCCTAAACCCTAAACCCTAAACCCTAAACCCTAAACCCCAAACCCTAAACCCTAAACCCTAAACCCCTGGGTTTCGGGTGTCGACATGATGCCCCCGCACCTCAATTTCCTTCTTCAGCTCGTTGTAGGCTGGCCATTCCTGAGTGCCGCGGCAGCAGCATCTCCATCCCAAGGGCCCTACAGCCTAAACCCTAAACCCTAAACCCTAAACCCTAAACTCGAGTTGGGTCTGAGGCTCCCTGTCGCGACTGGTTCGCCCTGAACATCTCGAACACTAGACGTAGCAAAACCAAATCCCCAACCTTAAGATCTAGGGGTTGTAGGGTTTAGGGTCTAGGGTTTAGGGTTTAGAGGTCCAGGGTTGTACCTTGGACCCTCAAGGTTGAAGGTTGTACCCTTGGGTTTTGGGGAGCCTTTTTACAGATCCCTACTGTTGATGGACAAAATCTTGCATGACCCCCTATGTTACACGTGTGCGACGGTTGGTAATCGAGCTCCCCGCGCCCCTCGAATTTCAATGTTGCGTGCGCATATGGGTGATGCAGGATTTCGGTCATTCACACACATGCAACTTCGAAGCATTGCAAGGACAGCAATGTTAAGATTCAGGGTTTGGAAGGGATGACCTGTATAATAAAAGTGATGCAGGATTTCGTCCATCAACAGTCTGGAGACTGGCAAGTTTTCGGAAACTCTGGTCTCTATAGTCACGGCTGACCACAGTCAACTGAGGGCCGTGTGTGAGGGGCCAGGATGGGGGCAGAAAGTCCGAAATATGGTATTTTTCAAGTTTCAAATTGTTTCCATAGTTTCAAATTAGTTTCCAATCAGTTTCAAATTAGTTTCAAAATCCAGTTGCAAAATCGCTGTTAAGGGGGAAATACAATTTCTGTCCGCGCTTTTTGAAAACCAGGAACCTCTGAGATTCCTTCATTTTTTTGAATTGCGCATAGAAAAATGCAGTTTCCCCTTAACAGCGATTTTGCAACTGGATTTTGAAACTATTTTTGAAACTAATTTGAAACTACGGAAACGAATTTGAAACTTGAAAAACGCGGCATTTCTGCTCTTTGGCGCTTGGCCACACCCGAGCAAGAGGAGAGCTTGGGCTTGAATCTGCCAAAGGTACATCTCCGACATTCTTCCCAAAAGCCATTCCAGCAACAACTCTTGCCAACAAGTCCGTAAACTATCTTGTCCGAGAGAAACAAGATAGTTTACGGACTTGTTGGCAAGAGTTGTTGCTGGAATGGCTTTTGGGAAGAATGTCGGAGATGTACCTTTGGCAGATTCAAGCCCAAGCTCTCCTCTTGCTCGGGTGTGGCCAAGCGCCAAAGAGCAGAAATGCCGCGTTTTTCAAGTTTCAAATTCGTTTCCGTAGTTTCAAATTAGTTTCAAAAATAGTTTCAAAATCCAGTTGCAAAATCGCTGTTAAGGGGAAACTGCATTTTTCTATGCGCAATTCAAAAAAATGAAGGAATCTCAGAGGTTCCTGGTTTTCAAAAAGCGCGGACAGAAATTGTATTTCCCCCTTAACAGCGATTTTGCAACTGGATTTTGAAACTAATTTGAAACTGATTGGAAACTAATTTGAAACTATGGAAACAATTTGAAACTTGAAAAATACCATATTTCGGACTTTCTGCCCCCATCCTGGCCCCTCACACACGGCCCTCAGTTGACTGTGGTCAGCCGTGACTATAGAGACCAGAGTTTCCGAAAACTTGCCAGTCTCCAGACTGTTGATGGACGAAATCCTGCATCACTTTTATTATACAGGTCATCCCTTCCAAACCCTGAATCTTAACATTGCTGTCCTTGCAATGCTTCGAAGTTGCATGTGTGTGAATGACCGAAATCCTGCATCACCCATATGCGCACGCAACATTGAAATTCGAGGGGCGCGGGGAGCTCGATTACCAACCGTCGCACACGTGTAACATAGGGGGTCATGCAAGATTTTGTCCATCAACAGTCTGGAGACTGGCAAGTTTTCGGAAACTCTGGTCTCTATAGTCACGGCTGACCACAGTCAACTGAGGGCCGTGTGTGAGGGGCCAGGATGGGGGCAGAAAGTCCGAAATATGGTATTTTTCAAGTTTCAAATTGTTTCCATAGTTTCAAATTAGTTTCCAATCAGTTTCAAATTAGTTTCAAAATCCAGTTGCAAAATCGCTGTTAAGGGGGAAATACAATTTCTGTCCGCGCTTTTTGAAAACCAGGAACCTCTGAGATTCCTTCATTTTTTTGAATTGCGCATAGAAAAATGCAGTTTCCCCTTAACAGCGATTTTGC